AAGTCTATCTCTAGTCGCGGTGAGATGTGCCTGGGGGTTGTGCTGAGGAAGTGGATGCTCCCTGAAGACGAGCCACCTGTCGTTCTGCGTTCTGGAGTCGTGACTCCCACCTCACCTACCTCATATGGAACTCTCGAAGAACGTCCCGTGTCTCCTGCTCTGCACGCTCGACCCTAGTCCACAGCTGGCGTACCTGATCGGCAGTGCTCTGAGCGAGGTCACCAGTGTTTCGTAACCGTCTCACCATGATTGGAAGGTCTCGATCAGCCGGCCCTCCGTCCCTCAGGTCAAAGAACTCGCGTGACATGTCGTACGGGGGTCGCTGTCCCTGTTGTCTGCTCCACCTCCAAAGATCAATACCCCGGGGTGTAGGACCAGTGGGGCCCACCCGGTAAGCAGGCACCCTAATCGGGTAAGGGGGGTTGATGAATTCGGACTCCGCATCCGAATCACCCCTTTCACTGTCGTCGGGTTCCTCCTTAAAGCTTCATTCATCTTCTTCCTCCTCCTGTTCTTCTTCTGGTCCGGCAGGCTCGCCCTCGACTTCTGCCTCCGGTTCTCCGTCAGATTCCTCCTCGGGATCTTCCTCAGGCTCTTCTTCAGGCACTTCGTCTAACCATCCGTTATTCCCTTGGTTAGGGAAGTAAAGATCTCTGGGGTGATGGAAACCAGCCATGCTGTCTGCGAGAGTGTGTAAATATGCTAACATTATCCCTAGGATGCTACAACTATTGTACGGACTAAACGAATGTTCTCTTTTTGGTGATAAAGAGGTATATTCTTAGGTTCCCTAGCTATCACGATCTCCTCAGAACGTGTGATAGTTATACCTTGGAGGGAATGTAGTTGATCAGGCTACATCCACTTCTTGATATGACTAGAACAGCTCTGGCTTAACCAAGATACTAGTATTATGTTGTTTTTCCTAATACAGGCAAGGATGCTTTTATTGTTGTGTTTTACTTGTTTTGTTCAGAGTTGTGTTAGTCCCTCTTTTTGGTTTATAGTTGCATATCAATGTGTGGTTAGATATGCTAGTTCACCATACACACAGCTCTGATACCAACCTGTCACACCCCCGAACCAAACGGCAGAAACGTCCGAGGGCTATTGTGACTCAATTGAATACCATCACAATGATTATACATGAATCATAACATCATTCATCACCATGCATTGAAATATAACAACAGATATTGCTTACAGTCAGTACATTGTTTTGAACATTACATTTCCATAACTTAAACCGTTCGATACTAATTTATACAAACACCATGACATCACTGGATACCTATTCTTCGATTTACCTGTTACTTGAGAATACAAGTATTTTGGAAAACGTCAACATATGAAATGTTGGTGAGTTCATAAGTCATGTTTGAAAAAATAATGATTTTTGTGAAGTTTGAAAACCCAGAAAGTCCGATATTTTCTGAAACAAGTAATGTATATAAGAAAAAGTGTGGAGATCCGTAGTATGCTTGTAAATTTTGTAAGCGTGTATAATTGTTAAACCTTGTATACATCACATAGTTAAAAGTGTTGATTTCCCGAGAAAACCCGATGTTTTCCCAATACATAGAATTACATGTCTTATTTATTGTTATACCGATACGACGATTGTTTATGATTACCCAGGTCACATTGGATTAATTATGGGTTGTGAGTCGTTATAATCACGCATTAACGAAAATGACTAGTTTATAACTACCCATTACAAATGATCCTTTAGGCGTCGTCCATAAGACTCACTTAATCCACCACCCTGACTTCTCATATCCCCACAACTGAGGAGAAAGGAAGGTACGAAGCCCCCGTTATTTCCATAAGTCGTTCAAGGCTATCGTGAATACGAAAGGCACTTGGCCCGACTCACATTTGACTTCTCGACTTTGCTAGCAGTACCAATGGACCCTTGGGGCCCAACAACCCAATAAAGCTATTGAAAGTCCTTTTACATGGAATTAGGTCATAGAAGGCCCAATACCATGTAAGCGCGTTCCCTTCGGGCCTAAAGATCATGTCATTAGGCTAGCTAGGCCCAACAAGCACGATTTGAAACTTTCAAGCCCAAAGATTGAGTATTGACTTCTCGTAAATTTCACGTGTTTTATTGAAGTACTAATGCTTATTGATTTTTGTTTTGTAATTGATTCGAGACCGAATCAAATCGTTTGGTAACGATATTGGTGTTGAAGGTGTATTTGATATTACGTTTCGCCGGTAGTCATAGTGCTCATATTTTATCTAATGGGATTTATTTGTTTGTAAGTAAAAGTTTACCTTTTTGTGACCCTACTTGGATAAAATTTACACTTTTAATCCTTTATATAAAAGAATTTCCATTTTAGTCCCTAAACCATTTTTCTTGACACTTTAGCATCAAAACTTATTAAAAAGGCATTTTCAGCCAAGATTTACTTAATAAACAACTTATGTCCTTCAAAATGTGGTTTTCTCGGTTGGAACCCCCATTTTCACAATCTTTACAATTTTGGCCCAAAATGGAAAAGTTTTGCATTTTTGATATCTTTTGAATTTGAAAAGCATTTTTGACCTTTAAAATAGTTTCAATACACTTGCAATCCCCTGTTTTACGAAAACTTGCCTTTTCAACCACTCTATTCCAAAAATTTCGCAATTTGGGGCTTATTGGGCCGAAAAGCCCATTTTTAGCCCATTATGTTTAAAATTTACATTTTAAGCCCCTCAAAAGTGTTTTTATTCAAAAAAATTATATTAAAAACTGTTTGGACTCTTTTCAACCTCCAAAAAATTTCATTTGTCATTTTGGGCCCTTAGGTTTTGTATTTTTGACAATTTGGGCCCAAAATTGGGTTTTATGTCTAAAAATGTCCATCCTAATCAAATAAATTATTTTTCTTGACTTGATTAGTGTAAAATGGTATAAGTTAACTTTATTTCATTCCTCTTGTTGTAGAACTCAGTTTTTAGGTATTTTTAGCCAACATATTCATCACATAACACATAAAATCATACATATAAGCGTAAAAATCACACAAGGCATACATTTACTCATAGATCTACACATTTGCTTGTATTCTCCCCCATAAAAACCCATAAAATCGAAAAAGAGTGGGTATGAAGCTCACCTTGGGTGTGGTTTCAGTTTTGGAAGGAAATGATGAGAAGAATTAGATCCTAGCAACATTCCTTGGAAGATGTCGAACTTGGATGCTTCTTAGGTGCTAGATCATGAGTTTGAATGAATTAAGAGGTGAGTTTTGGATGAAATGAAGTAGTTAGATTATGGATCTAAGAGATTTCTTACCTTAGATTAGGGATGAGCATTAGAACCGCCGGAACCGGAACCGAAACCGGAATTGGTAATTAGGTCCGGTTACCGGTTCTTCATTTTTATGAAAACCGGAACCGGTTTAACATTTTCTCCGTTTTTTAAAATGCGCATAACTCACTCATATGAAATCAGAATTATTTGATTTTTTTCTAACATGTAATTTGGAGTTTGTAATTCATTTTTGACTATACACACATATGTTTTGGTTAGATATTGAATCGGATACAAGCCCCGAAAGAAAGAATATTGATGCTGCGTTTTTTCTATTTCAACATTTTTTTTTTGTTTTTTTGAATCTGTCCCATTTTTTTAAATGAGCATAACTCATTCATATGACATCGAAATTACTTAATTTTTTTTTCTAGCATGTAATTTGATGTTTGTAGTTCATTTTAGACTATAAAAACACTTAATTTGGTTAGATATTGAATCAGTTATAGACCCCGGAAGACAACATATCAATGCTGCGTATTTTCTGTTTAAGCATTTTTTTGGAAGCTGACTGGCTTTTAAAATGTGCATAACTCACTTATATGAAGTCAGAATTACTTGATTCTTTTTTCATCGTGTAATTTAGTGTTTGTACTTCAATTTAGAATGTAAAAAGTCTTAATTTTGTTAAGTACTGAATAATTTACAAGCTTCGGAAGATAGCATATCATCTATAATATTTCAATCGGTTCTAATTTGAAAAATAACCGAAAAACCGGGACCAGAACCGGAACCGGCGCTAGAACCGGCGGTCCGGTTCCCGGTTCTTATAATATGGGAAAACCGGTTCTGGTTCCGAACCGGTCCGGTTCTAAAGCTCATCCCTACCTTAGATGATGATTTTTATGGAAGAAGCCCTTGAACTCTTCTTAGATCTTCGAAAATATGGAGGAGAAATGAGGGAGTTTCTTGAGAGAATGGTGAGTGAAATGTGTGTGTGTGCTTGAAGTCGGCCAAGAGTAAGAGAGAGAGGGAGAAGAAGAGAGTGTTGCATGGAAGTATGGGAAATGCATGGAAATCCCTTGAATAATTGTGAGGTGGCACACACAAAGTCAACTCTTTCCTCTTTGTGGGCTTAGGCCGAGAATGGAGAGGGAAAGAGGAGATTTTTGGGCCTTAAAGGCTTAAGCCCACTTTCATAGTTATGTTGAGTGATTTTTGGTCCTAATAAATATAAGTGTGATTTTTATGACCTATTAGGGCTCAATTGGGTTAATTATGCCCCAAAATGGCTCATATAATTAATTTATTTCATTCTGGGCCCAACATGGCCCAAAATATTGAAATACATAGAAGTGGGTCCAATTAGAGCCCATTTAAGAGTTCTAAGCCCAAGATAGTCAAATTGGAAGATTATTGGTCCATTGGGCCCAACAAGGAAGTCCTAGTCCAAAATGGACGTAAACAAGAACTCTTAGGGTTTCCAATTGCTTGTTAACTACTTGAAATGCTTGCATGGGGGTGTTTGTTTGAAATTTTGTTGTCATTGAGTATGCATCATACATGCTCTTATGTCTTTGATTCACAATTTGACTTAAGTGTTGTAGTTACAAGGCACAAAAATTTCTAGTTGTGACAAGGATGTCGAGATGGTCGATTCTTGGTTGATTTTTGACTGGATCAATTCGTATTTGGAGAAGTTTATTTTCAGATGGTTGTTCCAATAATTCTTGATCTCATTATTGGTTCTTCATGCGTAGGTACTACTAGGTGCATACAAACCTAAACTGCCATTGATCACGATCACTTTTTGTTCGGAAAACTAAAGCCAAAAACATGATGAGTAAACAAAGTGATTATGTTAAAGAGAGAAAAAGAGAGTTTGGGTGGAAGGTGGGACCATCATTTAATTAAAATGTTTTTTAATATTTAAAAATATTCAGAAACATTAAAAATAAATAATAAAAATGTTTAGCGGCGTAACTTGTTGCCAGTATGCCTTCTCATTCGTTGTACGATGATAACTAAGATGTTATAATTAAGAGACAAAATTGCAAAAATGGTCCCTGTGGTATGCATTTTTTTGGGGTTTTAGTCCAAACCATGACTTTTTTGGATTGGTGGTCCTTTTGAGCTAGTTTCATTGCGTTTTTTGTCCCTCCAAATTGTGAAATGACTATACTACCCTTGGGGTATTTATTTTCCATTTTTCTTTCATTTCTTTTTAAATCTAATATTAATTAATTTATTTTAATAATTAAAAAGGTAAGAAAGGCCCTTTCTTTCTCTCTCTCTCTCTCTCTCTCTCTCTCTCTCTTCTCTCTCTCTCTCTCTCTCTCTCTCTCTCTCTCTCTCTCTCGTAAACACACACATACACCCAACTTTGTCTTTCTCCCTCACCTGTTAAAATTATAACACGAGAATACTTAGTAACCCAACAACATTCATGTATAAAAGATAAGATAATAAACACCAAACACATCAAACATAAAATAACACGGTAAAATCGTTATATTATAATATCCCACTGAAATCAGTCAACACCCACATCAAAACAACACTAACAGAGCTATCTATTTCAACTTACGGAGATCACCACCATGAAGACGAAGAACAAGGTTCAAATTAGATTCCTCCTGGATGTTATTATCAGCTAAAGTTCACCCATCTTCTAATTGCTTCCCTGCAAAGATCAGCCTCTGTTTGATCAGGTGGAATCCCCTCCTTATCTTCAATTTTGGTTTTAACGTTATCAATGGTGTCGGAGCTCTCAACCTCCAAGGTGATTGTCTTCCCTGTAAAGGTCTAACGAAGATCTGCATACCTCCATGAAGACGGAGGACGAGATGAAGCGTGGAATCCTTCTAGAGGAGACAATATCAGGTGGGGAACTCACCGAATCTGTAACACGAACGACAGCAATAGGTGGAGCTATCGTAGGGCTTGTCGTCGGAGCTGTCAAGGCGGCGACGATCGACAAAGGTGAGCGGCATTCCAGATCTATGAGAAAGTGGCGGTGAGGAAATAATGGTGAGCTTTGATATATATATTCGATTTGAGAATCAGTAAGGATGATTGCACAAACCTAGATTTCTGATCGTGGTGTTAGTGGTTGATTTTTGGTGGCTGGAAGGAGAGACGGTGGTGAGGAGTTGGGATTTGAAGAAGACGAGGGTCATGAAGAAGATGACGGTGGATTGTATCTTTAAGGTATTGAAACTGGAGAGAGAGAGAGAGAGAGAGAGAGAGAGAGAAAGAAAGAAAGAAAGAGAGAGTGTGTGTGTGGGGGGGGGGGGGGGGGTTTTCTTATTATTTTAATAATTAAAATAAATAAATTAATATTAGATTTAAAAAGAAATGAAAGAAAAATAAAAAATAAATATTTCAAGGGCATTACAGTCATTTCACTATTCAGAGGGACCAAAAACGCAACGAAACTAGCTCAAAAGAACCACCAATCCAACAAAAATCATGGTTTGGACTAAAACCCCAAAAAAATGCATACCACAGGGACCATTTTTGCAATTTTGTCTAATTAAGATGTTGTAATTATTGGTGCTAAATTGTAAAAATAAATAAATGACAAAACTGCAAAATTGGTCCCTGTGGTATTCAAAAAAATGTGGATAAGGTCCAAAAAGTTTTGAACTTGCATGGAAAGTCTAAAATCAAGATTTTTTTCGTGATTTTGGTCCCTCATACACTTGAAAGATCAATTTTACCATTTTTATTTCTTTTTTGTATTTTGTTTATTTATCTTAGTATTTAAAAAATTAAAAAATTTAAAAAATTAAAATTAAAAATAGAAAAATAAATCTCACTCCACCCTGACCCTCTCCACCGGTACCGTCTCTCTCTCTCTCTCTCTCTCTCTCTCTCATCGTGTAACTTATAGAGAACTTCGGACTCCCTCTATATCTTCAAAACTCATCTCCTCAAGAACACACAATCACAAAATTATATATACACATAAAGAAAATTAAACACACAATGAATAAAACCAATCGTTCCAAACAAATCGTCATTCCCATCTTTCATCTCTATGTTCCTCGGTCCCTCTTCTACAATCCCCTTTGCTTAAGGAAAGTGAAGGAATTAAATCCAAGTATTTCAGGAAATCGAAGTTTCTAAAGCATATGAAATTAAAACCGAGTCCCCTTTGTTTTGTTTCTTGGTTTGATTTCTGAAAAAGAAAAAAACCTTACCGGAGAAATCGAGAAGAATATATTAGAGAGGGAGATAAAGACAGTGGTGGTGAACATGATATTTAAAAATAGAAGATGCGATGGAGATGAACCAATGATGAACTGATGAAATCCGAATTTATAGATGTTGAAATCTCGATTTACTGGAAAAGCCCCACCTTCAAGAACTAAACTTCTGTTCTTCTTCAGAGAGAAAACACAAACACCCTACCTTTGAATCTAGGGCTTCACTGGTTCGTTGGATGTCGAAAATGCTTGGAGTCATGGATTGAATCGATCATTACAAAATATTGTCCAGATGAGAGATGAGGACAGATCGAAGAGGGTATGATCCAACTTTAGATTCCAAGGAGTTGTGGCATTCAAGGGGAAATCAGATGAGTCCAAACCATATTTCTTGAAAAAGGGATTGGTTTGGGATGGAAAGCTCGAGGATGAGCGAATGTCTCATTTTCAGACGATCGTGTTGGATTGCCAACCAGACATGGCGACATCGATGGGTGATGATGGTGTCATGACCATGGTTTTAAAGTATTGTGGTGGTGTCATTGGGTTGTGCGATGAGTATACGAAGGAGGAGGAAGATTTTGAGTCATGATGGATGCCATCAGAGAGAGAGAGAGAGAGGAGAGAGAGAGAGAGAGAGAGAGAGAGATGGGGTGGGCCAACATAATTCTTTTTTTTCATTAATATTTACAAATTAAAAAATATAAAAAAATACAAAAGGAAATTAAAAGGGCATAACAGTCAATTTAAGTGCTCCATGGATCAAAACTACAAAAATTTCTTAATTTTAAGATCAAAATCACGGAAAAATCTTGATTTTGGACCTCCTATGCAAGTCAGAAACTTTTTGGACTTTATCCATATTTTTTCGAATACCACAATGACCAATTTTGCAGTTTTGTCTAAATAAATAAAGAAATAAAGAAATGAAAAAGGACAATATAATCATTTTATGTCTACAAGGAACGAAACATGCATCTTTTTACGATATAATGGAAGATCCAAATTAATTTTTGAATTAGTTTTTAAAAATAGAGATCAAATGTGTATTTTAATACGTGAATGAGAGACGAATCTTATAATTTACTTATTTTATAATTATGAAAAGAACGAGTTTGTGTCAATAAAGAAAGACCGAGTGGAGAGGAAAGAATACACAAACGTCAGCGGAAAGACAATTCCAGTAGATATTTATTCAGAATAGCCCAAGCCAAAACGTTGGTCCAGTTAATACTAGCATGCCAACTAGAATAAAATTAGCAATACAAGCTAATAAATATTTTAGCCCGTGATGACCATGATCTTAGGCCGAAGCCCGAAAGGCCGAATCTTATAGCCCATTTATATTATGTTAGTTTACACTTTAGAGTCTCACAACAATGTAGCTATGGATTTAGATTTTGACATAGAAAATCTAGTGGCTCCTCAGCCTAGTATATCGTCTCTCTCCTTTCCTTTATACTTTATGGTTAAAGTTAATTTTTCTAAATTAAACTTCAATTTCTGTTAATGTTCGAATTCAGTTCTTATATTCATATTTCAGTTGGAATTGTTAGTGTTTATTTTTATAGTTTGCATAATATATTGTTTTCATATTTCATTTGTTAATTCCACTTGATTTGTGATAAGTTTTAGGGTTTATTAACGGTAGTGAAATGAATTTTACTTTGATTGGTTCTTTTTAGATTAGTTTAGTCTAGGATGATTTACACAGCTTCGTACAGGATGATGATTCATTATATGTACTAGGTGTGAGATCCATTTTTATATGAGTTTAATTAAAAAAAATATATATAAAATTTTAACAATACGAAAAGTTTAAATTTATACGAAAAATAAGAAAAATTTTGAATTATTAAAATTAATGAGACTTTAATATATTGAATACATTACATATATAAACAATTTCTAATAAATATTTTACATATATATTACCTTACATATTAAATGTGGAATTTTAATTTAATAAAATGAAAAATACAATAAAATGACAAGTGGAAAATAGAAAATTTAAAAATTCTAAAAAATATCATATGTCCAAATGAAGAAGAAGATGACATGTGGCAAAAAAACATTTATTTATTATAGCAGATTTATCTTTCTAATAATGATGACATGGTTGCTTTCATATCATGCTTTTTAGTGTGTTTAATTAATAGCTTTCTTAACTATTTAGTAATTTACATGTGCATTTTAGGGGGTGTTTGTCTTAGTTTTTTAGAGGCTAAAAGATCTTTTTGGAAAAGTTACAAAAAGTTACAAAAGTTGATTTTTCTTTACAAAATCCAAAAATAGCTTTTAGAAATCTTTTGCCAAACATCTTTTGTCTATGATCTTTTTCTAAAAGAACTTTTGAACATTCAAAAGATAAGTCAAACATCCCCTTAATAATTTTCCATCATTACAAGATTTTAGAAAAATATGAGCGATACAAGTCACCACTAATACCTTCAAATGTCGCTCATGTTATATTTATATAACGGTAACAAATAATAATATAGAGTCGTTGTTAATACTTTGCCAATACTTTGCCGTTAATGCTCTATTCTCGCCCCTAACATGTCACATATATTGCTTCATGGCGCTATTATTGATGTTTCTACTATTGCTTATTATTATTATTATTATTATTATTATTATTTAATATCAAAAACCCAAATAATATTGTTTCTTTTTCTATTTTCTTAAATTACCACACCAATCAAGAGTCCAAAACCCAAAAATGCGCAAATTGTTTTCTTTATGTTTCTCAATTAGAGGGCTAAATAATTGGACTAGATGCTCACTTGTAAACTATGGGTTTAAAATTTGACATGTTGATAGATTAGAGAATTTAGGTAGCGATGTATTTAAAAGTTTTGTGGGACCCTGTTTCTCTAAGCCCGTCCAGTATGATTGTATTGTTTAAAAAAATCGGAGATGGAGGCGGGGACGGGGTAAGTTTAACCCTCGGTTTAATTTTGGGGGCTGGGATGGGGTTGTGCACTCCCGTTCCGAAACCCCCATGGAGCCCCGTTAATAAAATTATATATATATATATATATATATATATATATATATATATATATATATATATATATATATATATATATATATATATATATATATATATATATATATATATATATATATATATATGCACATCAATTATATAAATATAATAAAGTATAGCATGATTTTAACCTGTCAAAATTCAACAAAAACATGTATTTATGTTGTTTGTAACATGTAAAATTATATTATGAAAACTTTTTTCTTTCTAAAAAATAGTTTTCAAATAAATTAGCTCAAAAATTAATCGGAGGTGGGGTGAAAGGGGGCGAGGATGGGGGTTATAATGGGAATTCGGAGGCGGAGTGGTGGCAAAAAGGTTGGAAATTTCGAGAGCACGGGTGGGTGTGGGGAATGCAACCCTCGTCCCATTTTCCCTCGATGACATCCATAAATTTAGGCTTTGGAACAATGCTTGATGGGTGATGGTGTTCAACTCTAAAACCAAGAAAACCCAAGAACAATGTTACAATGCTTGAAAGCTAACCCAAACAAAAAAAGAATAATGTTTGATGGTTGATGATGTTCAACTCTAAAACACAGAAAAACATAAAATCGCTACTACAAAAAGGAACAATGGCAACGGTTTTTTAAATAATGGTTGTCACAATTTTGGTTATTTGCGTCAATAAAGGTCATTAATCAAATTTTAGTAATGTTTTAGTCATATGTTAACTAAAAGTCGTCACATAATATCACTAACACTAGTAAAATCGTGATCATTGCAAACTATTTTCATACATTTTTTTTACTAGCTAATAGTCACGGTAGATCATTAATACTGTAAGTATTTTATTATGACATTTAAATAAAAAAAAATCTCCCTATTCTAATTAAAAAGTAGTTTTTAATCTCCTTTTGATATGTGTCACCATATTAAGCCTCATAATTAATGCAAATTTTATTTTCTTTTGTTATTTTCACCTTATTATGTCTTATAATTAATGCATACTATTTGTCAACATATTGATTCTCCATTTCAAATTTCAAATTTTAAATTTCTCATTCTAATT